TAATATTATTCAATGATTATAATATTATTTAATACAGTGAAAACCTGTAAGCAGTTCATCTTGCCATTCAGTTACTGGACTCCTAAAGACAATGAGTGGTATCCTTTATGATTTATGTTCTTTATCCCCTAGTCCTTAGCTGAGTGCTCGACACAGAGTGTAGGTCAATGTGCACTTGTTGAGTAATTGGTGCCTATGGAGAACAAACACATGAAGTCTTTCGGTGCAATCCCACTTTTTTTTTTAAGTAAGAAGAGGATTGCATGCTTTTGCATTGTGAGAAATGGAAAGATGTATCAATCATGTATCCCACCTTCAGTAAGAGTGAAAGAATGTTGATGACGGTATTCACCAGTCCTCAGATTTCTGACTTTCAAGGTTATTGTGTCATGAGAAATCTGACTTGTTTTTTCCTGCCTGTTGTTGTCATATCCCTCAAATTTATTAAATTCTCTCTTTGTTTCAGCAGTCAATGACAGTAATCCTGGGAGTGATGAACTTAAGAAGGAACCAGTGGAGAATGAAGATAGTAAAGAAAAGTCTTTAGATTGTGATCAAATGGATTGTTCCTTGGTCTCTGAGCAACTTCCAGATTACCAGGAAGAAGAACAACTAAATACATCTGTTCCAAAGAAAAGGAAAATGAGAAATCTTTTAGTTACCATTGAAAATGATACCCCACTAGAGGAACTCTCAAAATACGTGGACATCAATGTTATTGCACTTACTCAAAATCGAAGAACAAGGAGATGGTACACTTGTCCATTGTGTGGTAAACAATTTAATGAAAGTTCTTACCTTATTTCCCACCAGAGGACTCATACTGGAGAAAAACCATATGACTGTAGTCACTGTGGGAAAAGCTTCAATCATAAAACAAACCTCAATAAACATGAGCGAATCCATACAGGAGAGAAACCTTATTCCTGTTCTCAGTGTGGGAAAAACTTTCGTCAAAATTCTCATCGGAGTCGCCATGAAGGAATCCATATAAGGGAGAAGATATTTAAGTGTCCAGAATGTGGGAAAACCTTCCCAGAAAATGAAGAATTTGTGCTTCATCTGCACAGTCATGAGGCTGAGAGGCCATATGGTTGCAAAAAATGTGGGAGAAGATTTGGTCGATTGTCAAACTGTACCCGGCATGAGAAAACCCACTCAGCATGTAAGAATCGAAAGCAGAAATGATGTTGGGAAAGGTCTTATCGTCCTATCTGAACATGAAAAGTTTCATAAGGAATTCTGAATTCCTAGGCTGCCTAAAAAGATACAGATATGTGAAAACCTCATTATTGCCAAAATTGGATAAATACCAATCTTGGCTGAAACCTCAACTTGTTAGAAAATTCACAGGGAAGGAAACATTTTCAAGGGCTATACCTCAATTAGCATCCAGGCTTTTTGAACTGAGGAACTTTCTTTTGTGAAGCACGAGAATGTACAGATCACAGATCCCTATCCCAAAAAAGACTTTTAATATGAGTGTCGAGTCTGTTTACTTGCAAGGTAAACAGAGTGACTCACGTCTATTGAAAGTATATCCATCCCGCCCCCATGGGAATTCATACTTGAAAAGTAATCAAAGGTCCTTATCTGGAACTGTGTTCTCCTGAAAAAACCAAACTACTGATTTGTTAAGCCAACAGCTTCTAATAGCAATTCATATAACCCTCTCAGAACACCTGTTAAGTCTTGAGTGTTGAAAGGAATTGTTTACTTGAGAATACAGGAAAACTACAGCAATTGAATGTCTCACTTTTATTTCTATGTGATCTAAACTAATGATCAATTTCAATAACATTTGCAATTTGTGGTGAAAATTGACTGTTTTACAGAAATCCTTTCCACAACATAATTTAAAGGTGTCTGCTGTTCTTACTGTATTTTGCTTGGCTGTTAATCTCTCAAACAACCGTGTCATGCCTCTCCCTTGCCAAAAGAAGTTTGGCCCATCCAGCCCCACTACTAGAAAAGCTCTTCGCAATCTTGTCCCTTTGTTGAGACTGGATCTCATGTGCTGGGAAGGAAACCCAAAGAGCCTGGAGAGGAGGGGCAGATCTGCAGGCAGGAAAAAGTTGGCTTTGATCCATGTCTGGTCAATAACCTTAACCATGTGCTTAAGTCTCCCCTACATGGTCATCAGACCCTTGGCAATGAGGTGTTCACTACCTCAGAAGGTCTCTAGTGGTTAGATCACGTTGCCCTTCAAGAGACAGGATTCCAGGTGTCTTCATTTTAGTGGATATTTGTCGTCTTTGGCCTCCTGACACCCAGGCCCTCCTGTCCTCTCTGCCTGAGGCAAGGCCAGTGGTGCCTTTATGGGACCAATCCCGTGGTGTGATTTAGGGATTCTCGATAAATTTTGCTTCTTTTAGGTTTCCCGAAGTATTTTGATTGGAATGTTGAAATAGGTTAATCCTATAAACTATTTTGGAAAAATTAACTTTATAGATTTTGTTTCCCATCCAGAAACATGCCTTTCCATTTATTAGAGTATTATATTCCTGAATTTTTCCAATTATCTTCGTCTTCACTTAAGTCCTATACCATTTTGTTATTGTAAATAGTTTTTTTCCATTATATTTTTCTAGTTGGTTATTGCTCTTACATAGGCAAGTTATTTTTTATATATTTGTGTAACAAGCCACCTCACTGAATGTTCTTAATTTCCAATAATTTCTTCGTTTAGTTTTGTTTGTGATAAAATTATATCATCTACAAATAATAGTTTTGTTTCTTCTGCCTCTTGATCTGTTTTGGTTTTTTCATTATTTTTTTAACATGTAATCTAGGGCTTATTGGTTTGGTACAAAGCATTCCGAAAGAAGGAAATTTTATGATACGATTCAGTCCAGAATCATAATTTAAAAACAAAAAACCCATACAACCCTTCAAGGCCACAGAAAAACTGTCCTTTAACAACTTTGTATTGCAAGCCAACAGTACCCAAAAAACCAGAGACAAAACTGGCTGCCAACACCTTACTCACTTATTCTTTGAAAGTCTAGCCAACACACTAGACAGGAACACTAGGACCAGTGCTAGGACCGGGATCCTGAGGCAACATTGTGCCAGGGTTGCTAAGCTGTTATCACATGCAGAGGACTCTCCCGTGCACCCAGAAAAGAGGCACAGCGGCCACTGGGCAGTGACAGGAGAGAGTGGGGTCCCCAGGCGAAGAACCCTGTCCCCTGCCCAAGGGTTGGGTGTTTGATAGTCCTCATGTGGCTGTGGCAGTCTCCAAGGCGCATTTTTTAAAACGTGTGGGTGGGTGATGCTGCCACGACCCAAGTCCACTCCCACGAGGAGAGGTACCCCAGGTCATGGTTGCCAGCCAGTCCAGCACATGCTGTCCCGAGATGGATTTCCTCACCCGCTGGGCCCAGCGACAGGGTAGGTGGGGCGGGAGGGTAGCGCCCCTGCCTGGAAGCAGTGCGGGCCCTGGGCCGCACAAACGCAAGAGCCCCTGGGAAGCCGTCGGACAAGTAAGTGCTCAATAAGAGCCCAGAAAAAAGGAAGAAACATTGAATAGTTTTCCAATATAGCAGCAAGCGTTAGACAATTATGAAGGACCAAAGATCCAATTCCAATAGCAACTACAAATAGAAAATGTGCTCTAAAAAGGCAGCGCTAAGCACACACAACCCATGGAGTTTCCTGGGGGCTAGGGGAGGTGGGGGAGGACAGAGGTCCAGAAAATCTTATATATGGCTACAAATGTGACAAGCCCTAGGATCGGAAGAGTTTGACCAGGTGGGATTTCCCTAGAGGGCTCTGGGGAAGTGGCATTGAAAACACTCAGACCAGAAGGATGAGCTGGAGGAGGAGGAGGACCCAGTAAAGGACAGGAACAGACTATTATTAGATAAAGAAGTAGGAGTGGCTAGAAGACATATGAAAGTATGTTGAGGCTTACTAGTAATCTCAGAGTTACAAATTGAAAGAAAAAGATATCGTTTTAGGTGCATTCAACAAGCAGAAATTTTTTTGTATGCAAAGATCCAGCTTGGCAAAAGAGGGATGACAACAGCTGTCACCACGCTGTGACAAGAGTGTTAAAAGACATTATTACCCCTTGACCCAGCAATTTGTCTTCTGTGTAGGACAAATGTCGTTTAAAAATCATAACACAATACTGAAAACTTAGAAACTTAAATGGTTGAATAAGTATGATGAGATATTATAAAGCTAATAAAAACAATGTTTTTGGTCAGGCACAGTGGCTCACGCCTGCAATCCTAGCACTCTGGGAGGCCAAGGCAGGAGGATAGCTTGAGACCAGGAGTTCGATATCAGCCTGAGCAAGAGTGAGACCCTGTCTCTACAAAAAATAGAAAAATTAACCAGGTGTAGTGGTGCACGCCTGTAGTCCCAGCTACTCAGCTGAGGCAGGAGGATCACTTGAGCCCAGGAGTTGGAGGTTGCAGTGAGCTGTGATGACATCACTGCACTCTAGCCTGGGCGACACAGCAAGATCCTGTTTCAAAAAAAAAAAAAACAAATCCAACAATGGATAGAAAGAATTATTTACCATGACCAAGTGGGATTTATTCAAGGTATACAAGAATTTTAACATTCAAAATCAATAAATATAATCCATCACATCAACAGGCTAATGAAGAAAAATCATATGATCATAGATTTTTTCTACATAGATGTAGAAAAAGCATTTAACAAAATCCAGCACTCATTTATGATAAAAACTCTAAACAAACTAGGAATAGAGAGGAACTTCCTCAACTTGATAAAGAACATGTACAAGAATTTACGGCTAATATCATACTTACTGGCCAGAAACTAGATGTGTTGTTCCCCCTAAGATCAGGAATAAAGAACAAGGATCAAGAACAAGGATGTCCTCTTTCACCTGAAGTCCTAGCTAATGCAATAGGACGAGTATAGGAAATAAAAGGTATACAAACTGGAAAGGAAGAAATAAAACTGTCTTTGCAGATTACATAATTGTCTATGAAGAAAATCCCAAAGAATAGATTTTTTAAAAACCTGAAGATCCCAAGTGATTATAACAAGGTTGCAAGATTCAAAGTTGATATACAAAAACCAATTGTTTTCCTATATATCAGCAATGAACAATTGGAATTTGAAAAAAAAATACAACACCATTTACACAGCACCAAAAAATCTTTAGGTATAAATCTAATAAAATATATACAAGATCTATATGAGGGAAACTGCCAAACTCGATGAAAGAAATTTTTTAAAAAACTCAAAGAATATCTAAACAAATGAAGAGCTAGTCCATATACACAGTTAGAAAAATTCAGTATTGTCAAGTTGTCTCACCCCTATATACAACTCCTTCTTGATAGTCCACTTGGATGTCCAATGGACAAATTCAACATGGTCAAAACAGAAATCTTGATTTCCCCCACCATTTTTCTTTTACTGTTATTATGGCAGAGAGCAAATTACTATGTAACATTCTATTATTTTTGGTGGCATTGAGATTGTCTCAGCATGGGAGATAGACGATATAGATGTATTATCAAAGAAGTTAGAAGAAAAACCTGCAGTCCTGAATTTGAATTGGAAGCATCAATATGGACTCATGATGTATTTTTATCTTAAGAAAGTGTTCCTGAGGCCAGGCACAGTGGCTCACACCTGTAATCCTAGCACTCTGGGAGGTCAAGATGGGAGGATTGCTTGAGGTCTGGAGTTCAAGGCCAGCCTGAGCAAGAGCGAGACCCAGTCTCTACTAAAAATAGAAAAAATTAGCTGGGCGTGGTGCGTGCCTGTAGTCCCAGCTACTCAGGGGCTGAGGCAGGAGGATCCCTTGAGTCCAGGAGTTGGAGGTCGCAGTGAGCTATGATGATGCCTCTACACTCAACCCGAGGGTGACAGAGTTAGACTCTGTCTCAAAAAAACAAAACAAACAAACAAAAAAAACCCCAAAAGTGTTTCTGTCCACTGAAAGATGCTGGAAAAAATTACCAACTCAATAGCAGTGAGGAAAATCTCTTACTAAAACGGAAACAGAGCATTTCATATATGTGGCTGACTCTAGATCTGGAGCAGAAAATGTACAAAATGAGTCTAGTTGACCTCGTTGTACCAGATAGCAAGGATGCTATCAAAACATCCCTCAGATTCTGTCAAAAGAACTCAGAAGCCAACTTAGAGATTCCCGTGGGCCAAGGATAGGACAATTTGAACATCAAAAAAGATAATAACTGCAATTATTGAAAAATATCAAATATATGTAAATCTTAGAGTTTATAATTATACTTAAATGTTTTTAAGTTGGTTGCCATTGGAGGATGCTATTGATTCATTATTCATTATTTTGAACACTTGTGGACAAAGGGAAAGAATCCAGCATCTATCTCATCATTTCTATACGAGGTGTTGGGAAACCAGTAACTGATGATGGGAAGTTTCTGTTAATAAAAATATTCTAGTTAGTAAAAAATGTTCTAATCAGTAAAAAATCACTATCTTGCGACATCTAATGAATTAATCGATCTTAGCATTAATCAATACTCACTAACATCAGAACAAAAGCGTGAGACTCCCAGCTCTATGAAAAGTTTTAAAACAATTAGGGGGAGGTGGTGGCACGTGCCTGTAGTCCTAGCATCTGCAGAGTCTGAGATGAAAGGATCACTTGAGCCCAGGAGTTCCAAGTTGCAGTGAGCCATGATTGAGGCACTGCAGTTCCAGCCTGGGCAACAGAGAGAGACCCTATCTCAAAAAAAAAAAAAAAAAAAAA